TTTTTCTGGGTCCATGAGCCTTGCCCACAGAAACTGTCTGGATCAGCAGGAACTAGTCTGAAATCAAGTGCTCTGTCCCTAGCTGCCTTCTGGGTAGAAAGGGAATAACTTCAAAATCAGCCACCCTGCTCCCAGCAGCATTTTGGGCTGGTAAGAACTTTTGCTGGGTCCAGGTACCCTACACCAAGCCCTGCTTTGGGGTCGGCTTTTGGAAACTTTTTCATCCCCTTCTTCCCGCCTTTTAGGACAGCTTTTGAAAACTTTTTCTGAGAGCAAATGCCCTATCCACAGCTACATTTTAAGCAGGCGGGAATTCCTTCTGGAACAGGTGCCTTGCTCCCACCACCATTTGGGCTAGCAGGAACTTTTGCCAGGTCTAGGTACCTTATTCCCAGACATCTTCTGGGTCAACAGGAACTCTTCTAAGATCAGGTGCCCTGCTCCCAGTTCCTTTATGGGCAAGGAGAAACTAGTACCAGGACCAGGAACCCTACTTCCCATTGACTGCTTGTCCACCCCCTAGTTTTATTTTTGCTTGTTTGTTTTAAAATTATCCTTTTTTTTCTTCCTCCTTTCTTCCTTTGGAAGAAACATGGGGCAATCTACTTCTGTAGCGATACTGCCTCAGAAACCCAAGGAGGGGTTGCTATTAGTCGAGTCCGACTCAACAGCACATAACAACAACAACAACAACAACAACAACCTTTCTTCCTTACTTTTTTTTTTTTTCTCTCTTTTCCTTCCCGGTTCTTGTTTCCTACCCCTTACCTTTTTTCTTTATTTCCTCCTTTTGGTTCTTCTCATCCCTTGTATCTCTTTGTATTTTTATTTATTATTCTTTTTCTCTTGCTCTCTTCTCTGATTCCCCCTTCCCCCAGACATTACAAGTCTTGTCTTCTCTTTTTCTGTCTTTCTTTCATATTTTTTAAATATTTATTTTCATTTGTTGCCTTTTCTTCTTTTGTGATTGTTGTTGTTTATGAAGTTTCTGTTTTTGTTCTTTTGCTTTTTTTTTTTTTTGTCTAACCATGTGAAAGACAGCAACAATATCCACATGACTCAACCACACCCACACGTCCTTCAGCCCCACTGACTAGGTGAGGGTCACCACTTGCCTCTGCATCCACTGATCAACAATAGACAATGGCCAACACCATCCCAACTCACCCTGAACTGCTCTTCACAGCTAACAGACATCTATGCACACATGCTAATCCTCTGTCACACCCACCAGGAGACATATAGTGAGTGCTTAAGTGCTGCCAACTAGTGAATAGAGAAGTACTATATCCTCCTCACTCAGCTCTAGCAAAACAAAGCAAAAAAAAAACCTGAGTGATTCACACCTACATACAATTATCAATTAAATACAGTAACATCACAATGTCTCACAGATGACTGACCATTCCAATCCACACAAATAAACAAGATAAAGTAGTACATATAAAGGACCAGGATATAGACCCAGAAACATTCCTAAGGAAGAAGTGGCATTGGAACTGCCTCGCAGGGAATTCAAAAGAACTATATTTAGGTACTTTTAATGAATTGAGAGACAGATCAAGGAAAACACTGACAAAGTTAAGGATAACATAGATAAACCTCTAAAACAATTTAAGAAAATAATATAAGAACAAACTGACAAAATAAATGAAAAAAATAAGAAATCACACACAGACAACAAATAGAAATCCAGAAGAGTAATACTAAGATTTCAGAAATAGATAACACATTGAATGGACAAAGGAGTAGAACCAAATCAATGCAAGACAGAATTAGTGAGATTGAAGGTAAATCCCTCAATACTACTTTGCTAAGGGATCAGTCAGAAAAAAGATTTAAAAAAAAAAAAAATGAAGAAAGCCTAAGATTCATGTGGGATACCATTCCCTCATATTTTCTTGTATATATGTTATCAAACTTTTGGATCATTGCACAATTTATAGGTAAAATTGATATTTCAAGGTAGTTTTAAAAAACATTTCTTTTACAAGTGAAGTTGTCTTTTCATATGTTGAACAGCCATGTTTATCTTCTCCTTTGAAAACAACTTATTTATTGACTTACTGTTATTAGGTGCCATAGAGTCACTTCCAACTCATAGCAACTCTATCTACAACATACAAAACACTGCCCTGTGCTGCACCATCTTCATAATTGTTATTATATTTGAGTCCATTGTTGCAGCCATATTGTTGAGGGTCTTCCTGTTTTTTGCTGATCCTCCTCTTTACCAAGCATGATGTCCTTCTCCAGGGACTGGTCCCTCCTGATAACATGTCCAAAATACATACGAAGTCTCACCATCCTCACTTACAACATTCTGGCTGTACTTCTTCCAAGACAGATGTGTTCATTCTGCTGGCAGTCTACGGTATATTTAATATTCTTCTCCAACATCATAATTCAAAGACATCAATTCTTCTTTAGTTGTTCTTATTCATGATCCAGCTTTCTCATGCATCTGAGACTATTGAAAAGACAATGGCTTGGATCAGATGCATTTTAGTCTTCAAAGTAACATCTTTGCTTTTGAACACATTAAAAAGGTCTTTTATAGCAGATTTGCCAATTGCAATATGTCATTTGATTTCTTAACTGTTGATTATGGATCCAAGCAAAACGAAATCCTTAACAACTTCAGTACTTTCTCCATTTATCATGATGTTAGTTCATGATGTTGCTTATTGGTCCAGTTGTTAGGAGTTTTGTTATGTTGAGGTGTAATCCATCCTGAAGGCAGTAATCTTTAATCTTCCTAAGTAAATGCTTCAAGTCCACTTGGCTCTCAGCAAGCAAGGTTGTGTTGTCTGCATGTCATAGGTTTTTAATGAGTCTTCCCCCAATCCTGATGCCACATTCTTCTTCCTATAGGCCAGCTTGTTCTTTGATAAGATACATACAAGAAAGTATGAAGGAAACAGCCACTTTCCTTTTTTTATAATTGTGGTTTAGGTGCAAATTTACAAAACAGAATTCATTTTACGCTCAGCACTGAAGTACATTTGGTTTCACTCCCCAATTACCATCCCAAACCTAACCCAATCTTCTCCTTTTCCTTCCCGGTAACAACACCCCCCCCCTGCCGCCCACCCCATGGCCCTCGTAGTTATACACTCCTGTGTGTCCTGTGTTTCCTTCATGCGAATGTTGCCCTTCTGGTGTCCCGTGGTCGATTGCTTCAAGG